TATCAACCCTGCAGGTTGTGTGACAAGATAATGATGCAATCCCTAGGGATGAAGGTGGAGGTGCTGGTAGGATGACAAAGTCCCACCACCCACATACAGTAAGAAATAATTGAGATTAGGTGAGGCTTCAGTCAAACATGAAAGATTAAAATACTTTATATTAACAATCACAGAACCAATTAAACTGAATGTATATAAACTATCTAATTAACAGATTAGAAAACCTGAAGTGACATGTGTGATGTTCTAGTTTGATTTCCTGTACAATGGAGAGCAGATTTCCCTGAACCAGTTCCTGCCTCAACTAAACTGTATTATTTTAAGGGGAAACATCACATCTTGCTATAAATATAAATATAAATATAAATATAAATATAAATATAAATATAAATATAAATATAAATATAAATATAAATATAAATATAAATATAAATATAAATATAAACAGAAAAGTTACCATAATTCTTGGTAAACCTCTCAATGTTTAATTATGGGTAATTATGAATTGAGACTGCAGCTCTTGGATCTTTGTCTACTAGAGCTAAGCCATGTACTTTTAAATGAATATTTACTACATAGAAAGGTATGTAAAGGGCCCCCATTAACCTTCTCTTTGATAAGCTAAATAGGTGGAACTCCTTGAGCCTCACATTAGAAGGAAAGTATCCTAATCATTTAATCATATCTCATGTCTGTTCTATGAAATCCCTCTAATTTTTCATCACTCTTTTTGAATTTAGGACACAAACCCCATGTACAACATCCCAATTTGCCTTGCATCAGTGCCAGATACAGAGGAAGTACAAACCTCTCTATTTTTTCACAGTATTTACTTGCCTGGGCAATCAAGAGTTAGATTCCCTTTTCTAGTCACCCCATCAGAGAAGTATCGACCGTGGTTTATTAGTCTCCAACTCCTTTTCAGTGACCGTTTCCCAGGAGAGGAGTCCTTATGAGATTTGCAGGGCCCTTGTTCTTTTTTCTAGAATATATGTTATGCTTATTTATCTGTATTAGGTAAAAACACTTCCACAATGATTTTGTAGGAGCATAAGGCACAAAGGGACTTACCAGAGGTTACCATAAAGTATTTGTGAAGAAAGAAACAGAACAGGACAGGCATCCTGAATCCCCTACTGGCACTAGTACTGCACATTTACATTTGAAGTTAAATTTCAAAGGCCATGACCAGATGGATTGTCAGCTGATGGATACAATCCTCGTATCAGAATGAATGCGTTTAAAACTCTACTGGTAAAACAAAATAAAATAGGGCTCAAATCATTTAGCCTAATTCTCTCCTGCCAAAGGTAACCATGTCCTACCTTCTCTTTCAAAAATAATCCCCCACAAGCTTAGAAGACAAAATATTTTCTCAAACAACAGGAAAATATGATCAAATTGGAAATATAGACAAAGGAAAATATTATATTAGTGAATTTTTCCTTGTCATCTTGTACAGTAACTTTTACTGAAATGGTGCTTTTGACTCTGTCCACTGTCTCCTACTGTAGGGAATAGAGATAGTCTTCGGCATCAGTCTGTGTTGAGTAGAGCACCAAACTTGCTGAACCATGTAGACCAAGCAAAAGAGCTACTGTAATAGAAGGTCGGACTTAAGACCAGATTTCACGATGGGTTTTATTTCTTCATTCTGTCAAACCCTGTGCACCAGACAGGATTGGCTCTGACAAGCTTCTACTGTAAAATGCTAAAAAAGAGACTAAAATCTAGGCCAGAGCTAGGGGTAGTTCTTGGGAAGCTCTCTGGATTTCCTGGAGGGCAAGGTGTGGCTCTGTAAGTGGGAGGTAAACGCCAGTGATTTTCTGTTACTAGTAATTAGGTGCAGCTTGAGTTTCATTAATAAGAGCTACATATGCATACTGGAAAAAAGAGTTTATCTGACACCAGGATTATTACATGTTGCCAGCTAAATGTCTTATAATGTTCATTACCTTTGTTATTTTATGATTAGCCCTTATAACCATCTGAAAGCACGTTCATATTTTATCAACACATAAGAAAAAAAGTTGTGCCATTTCAAGTTTATAATCTAAAAGATAAATAAATCTCCTGGTAAATCTGCAAATTATCCCACCAATCTGTCTAATATTTTTGAACTACTTGTTGCATTAGCATTTGGTTTCTATTAGCTTTAGTAGTTTTGCTTTTGATGTGAAGGTAAGTTCACTATCAAATACAGAAATGTGCTTTCCAGAAAGTTATCCTGAGGTGAACATTCAGCATGGAAATATCAGTCTTAAAAGATTTGATAGACCAATAAAGAAATGAAAAATTATCAGGGGAAAGGGGCCGGGTAGCCTTAAATAAAAGAGATACTGAAATGTTAGTGACTATTTGTCAAAATTTAGTAATACAAACAGAAAAAAAAAAAACACCAAAAAACAAACGTAATGTAGCTAAAATTGTCTGTTAAATTATTTTAAAAATCCACTCATTGCAGTCTCTAACCACAGGCTATCTGAACATTATGGCATATATTCTAAAATTCTTATAGAATATTTTAAAGGGTTTTTTTTCCTCCAGTTTGATGGTTCATAGCATCAAAGGTTTTCAAGCCAGAAGAAATCACCGTGATTCTCCAACCTGACCTTTTGCACAGTACAGGTGACAATTAGATCAAGTGATGTCTACATAATTTCTGGTAGATCTAGGACACTTGCTTTGGAAAAAATCCACCTTCTTGATTTAAAGATTTCAGGTGACAAGGAAAACTTCACAGACCTATCTATCTAATTTTTTTTTTTCCGAGGCTTAGTCAGTCTAAGGGGGTTTTTTGTTTGTTTTGGTTTTTAATCAAAAAATGTCTCTTAGCTCAGCTTTCAAACACTACATCATTTAAAAGATTTGTCTGCTAAACTGAAGATTTCTACAATTACAATTATATTCTTTATTTATATAATTCCAGGTGAGTTAGCTCTTATGTGATTTATTGATGGGCTAAAGAGATTAAGCTTTTAAAGTCTCTTCTATAAGAAGGGTTTCTAGATCCCAAGTAAAACATAGAGTTTTGCTTAACAAGTTTCTCAATTTTTGTCTTGATATCAGGTGAAGACATGGTGCTCCACCAATGAAACCCCTATTGCTACAGGGTGCTCCCCACATTTATCTACAAGGATATAATTTGTGTGCTCTTAACTGCTTTTCTGTATCACTTCATAATGCAGTCCTCCATCAGGTAACTGATCTACATTTTTCTTTCCTAGAAATATTAGCCGGCACTTAACTATATTAAAATGCACATTGTCCAAGGTAGCTCAACTTACCAAAAATTCTGGTAATACTGTGGAATAAATCCTTATCATGCATCACTTCACAACTTCTGTTTCTTACACAAATATTATAGTACAAATTTGTAAACAAACGAATATGTGTTACTAGTCATTTATAAATACTTCTGACTTATTAATAATGCCAAGTAGAAAATGATCCTGACTTTTTTCCAATTTTAACTGACTTTTTTCAATTTAACATGTGAAGTAGCTACTAAAGAGTAATATAGCCAGACACTGAAATGTATTAAAAAAGAATATTTAAGCAATATACTTTGCTTAATTGTTGATAATGTGTGTTTATACCATGGAGTGATCTGCAAAGGGAACAACAGTTTCACTTGAAGTATTCCACTCCATAACAAAATAGTTACCTTATTTCTACAGTAACACCTACAAATTAGGTTGCAATAATTTTGAACAAGGAGAAAATTCTTAGATATCTGTAGGCAACCTGCAAGCAGAAAAAAAGAGCAAAATTATTTGATGTACCAAGTTCTATTTATTACAGAGAAATGATTCCACTAAAGTGCAAATACACCTTAATATAAAATAAGAGGAAGTCAATAAAAGGGAAACACAAGGTAGCATATTCTGAGAAATATCTGGCTAGAAATGAGTCATACTCTAATGTTGGATAAACTCTTTCTTCTTCAGTACGTGAAGGAATGTTTTATTAAGGTAGCCCAAGCTATGTGTAATTGCCACCAGATGAAAGATACTAGCATTACTTCCTACAAAGAGGACCACACCCCCCAAGAAACACAAGTTTTTCTACATACCCACAAAGTTGATGAAATGTTGCCATTGACATTTTCTTGTTTGTAGAATTTCTATTTGTGGAAGTATTCTGGTTTTCTGCAGCAGGCACTTGAAGCTCCAGCAAACTCCTTTATCTTTTCTCTCGGCTTACATATAATTAATACACTATCTAGTAGTTTTAATCTGCTAACTAACCAGACGTGCTGACAGACTTGTAGTAAATCAAACACTCAGTATTCATCAGCCTGATCTGCCCAGATTAAGATAATGGCCAGCTATGCCATCGTGATAGGTCCTGTGGGAAGGAATTATTGTAATGTCGGTTATAACTACACGTTTAAGATTGTGTTGACATCCATATATTAAGTAGCTCTAAAGACATTGTTTTAAACTGTAATGAGCTTTAAAACTGGATGCTTGCAGCAGAATATGGAATTTCACTAATTTTTAAATAATACATTTGCAAGTTCTTTTGCAAGATAAAATACCTTCCTTTTTAAATGCTCCCCTTCACTGCATTTTTTCTTAGATTATTTAAGTTTTGCTCTCTCAGGTTTCCAAAAGCTTTGCTTCTTTTTCTTTCTCACATGTACATTCATACATGCTCTGAGATGTTAGGCACAGACCATTAAATGCATCAGTAATCACTACTCTTCATGCGGTATAGCAGGAGGGTTACACTAAGCTGAATTGCTGCAACTTCAAGAAGGGCAGGATGGAAAAGCCACAGAACTACAGGTCTGTCAGCCTCACCTCCATCCCCAGTATGACTGTGAGAAAATACTCCTGGAAGACATTTCCAAGTACCTGAAGGACACAAAGGTGACTGAGAACAGGTGGTGTAATGTGGCTTTACCAAGGGCAAACCTTTGATGGGCAGACTGGCTCAGCACAGAAGGAAAAGCAGTGTGTGCTGTTTACCTCGACTTTAGGAAGGCCTTCAATATGGTCTCCCATGGTACCCTTACAGTCAAACCGGTGAAATACGGAGTGGAAAAACGTACCACAGGGTGGATGGATAATCAGCTGGGCTGTGGGGTACATCGGGTGTTGATCAGCAGTGCAAAGTTCACCAAAAAGGTGGCTGGTTACTAGAGGTGTTCCTCAGGGACCCATACAGGGGCCAAAACTCTTAATGTACTTATTGATGACCTAGAGGAGGTAACAGAGTGCACTCTCAGCAAGTTCTGCTGTGATGCCTATTGGGGCAGGGGTGTCAGTACTCGGGAAGATAAAGCTGCCCTGAAGGGGCCTTTGCTTTCTTTTACCATTGTTTGCTTTCTTAAGCATAGATCTTTTTACATTAAAGCTATAAAAAACATGAAGATTGTAAAGAAACTCTCAAAAGCAAATGCATGACAGAATGAAGACTGACTAAAAAAATTTCATTTGGTCTCCTTATCCATAGTATAACAAACTTTAATTTCATTTTAGGGACAGACACTAAGTCTGTTCCTCATTTGCTGGGTGGTGAACTTGAGATACTTGCAGTCTGGTATTGAAAATGATCCTGAGCATGGTGAAGTTAATTGTGAATCTAATTGAACATAGTTGTGCTTTGAATGTACGGTGCTAAATAGTCTCAAAATATCCAGCTTTGGGTGTCTTACGGAGGGTCTTCTTAATTCATAGATACATCTGATAAATTTTGTTTTGACAAACTTGTTTAATTTTCCCATTTGTATGATGGACGTACTATATTCTTTCCAATAGGCACCTTAATGTTTGTACACAGTTCAGATACTGTAAAGGAGTAACCCACAAAAGCATATGAAAATAATTAAATTTTGTGTTGAGTTATGGGATGAGGCCAGGCACTGGGAGTACATAGTAAGATCTAGTGCTCATCCTGAAATGTTAAATAACACCCAAGTTTATTGAGCATGATCCCCATTTTATCCATTAGAGACGTTGCCCTTAGGTGACTGAAAATACTGAAATTAAAGACTGTAAACAAGATCCACTATGGAATGCAAGCCTGTAAGTCGCAAACAGATGATCTTGAAAGCTACCCACGCAGTTCCTGCATAGGCACTCTGTAATTTTACCTTGCTCCCCTGTGTAATGCTCCCCTGGAGAAACAGCTCTGGGTATGCCCAAGTCTGGGAGCAGCCTCAAAAAAACTCAGTAGTTTAGCATTTATCTCATGCTTACACCCGTAGCTGGACAAACAAGAGGCTTTTCTACAGTGGAGATCCCAGACGGTTTGATACAATAACACGTAACATCACAGGCCTAGGCTCTCGATGAAATACAATGCAGGCTTTCTTTCAAAAAGTGACGATATAGATGTCCAGCTTTCATCCAACAGCATATTGTGGTGGGCCCACATTTGACTCTTTCCTCGGTTAGATGTGGGCTCAAACACAGATACCCCTGCCACACAGAACGTCTCCCACCACTCTGAATATTCCACCCTGATGAGACCACATTACCCTTTCCTGACTGTGAAACAAGCCCAACGGAGCACTGGGCCAGGAGTGCAAAAGTAACCAGGTTCTTTAGCCCAGTGATGAGGGGTACACACCTAGAGACTGAACCTGGTTACTCTCCATTCTCTATGGATTGTTTCTGCTTTGCTGTGTAACTTTCTAAAGTAAACTACAGGGAGAGTATTGGGACCTGGCCAGGAATCCAATAGTCCTTCCTTTCAGGAAGAGAGTGCCCCAGCCACTAGCTATTTGGACCAGAATTTTCTGTACCTTATTCTGCATGCAGCAATAGCTTCAGTTGGAAGGATGAAGGCATTTCTCACCTCTGAAAAACCTGCAGGCTTGTGGTTTGATTGTTCCATTGAAAGGAAAGCTGTTATTCTTAATCTCCAGAGGCTGGAAAGTCCTGTCTTCTGTATTAAATGTGTATAATTTAACTTTTGAGGTATCAGTTAAGGAAAGCTACTATCACTAATTTTGCGACACAGTCAGTGCTGCTAGACAGTCCCAGAGAATGCCTGCTGGAAAGAGGCTGCAAGCAAAAGCATGGAGGTGCTTACAGGCATAACAAAACCAGACCTTTGGGGTACAACTGCTTTACCCACTCAGCACTGTGAAGGGATGAGAGAATTAGCTTTGAATTCAAGAATAAGAAGAGTACACTTTAGTTCAGCAGTCTGCTCCTGCCATTTAGGCCTCCTGGGCAGCTGAACAAAGGACACGCGCTGCAACAGCACGCAACCACACTGCAGGGCCCCACCTCGTATTTCCGCTCCGTGGTGCCTTGTGCTGTTTAAATGTATGAGCCTCTCTCACTCAGCTTGACTACCAGTACATAGCGCCTACTGCAACACTTTACATGTGTTCTTCACCACCAACGGAAAGTTCAGAGGGCCTAAGGATCCTGCACTATTCAAGGGCCATAAATGTGAACCTCAACAAAGCTAACCCTTGGGGGAACCTGGAGCCACCTCTCCTCACCAGTTTTAGACCCATGTCAATACCATTTCCAACTGTGTAGCTTGGGGGATTTTGTTCTAGAGAAAAATCAGTCACACCTCCCTTGTCCTCTAACACCAAGAATTTTTTTAACTGAGCCATTACTTTACAGAAGCTGTGCTCGTGAATCTTGTGATCTTCAAATCACTATTACCAGTTGGTAGTTATCTGTTTTAACAGCAACCACAGAGAACTCTGGCACACTGATTCCAAGAGGATTACTTTGCCATATTAACACAGCAATGTAACTACAGTTGAAATGAATCCATTTAAAAAACATATACAACAGCTTTTTGTTTTATTTTTCAAGGGAAAACCACTATTCTGTAGGAGGAAAGAAAGAAGCCTGTAGGGCTTATCTCTCTTCCAACACAGACAATGTTTGGTTTGGTTTGGAGCACTGCATTTTCAGGGCATTTTGTTCATTGTAATGGATCTTGAAGTTGTACGTTCTCTTTACCTTCAGGTAATGAAATTAAGAAAAACAAACCAGGAAAATCGCATACTGTTGGTTATTACATTATTTTAAAAAAAGAACCAAACCCAACAGTTATAATAAATTCTTGAATCTGGGGGCACCTGACCCTCATCTCCTTACATATTTTCTAACTTAACTTCCTTTCCCCAGATGGATTTTTGTCCCTTCACCTTAATCACAAAATATTTTTCAGTTGTTTAAAATGACAGAAAAAAAAAAAAAAAAAAAAAAAAAAAAAAAAAAAAAAAAAAAAAAAAA